AAATCAAATATTTTGTAAAGAAATGTGATTAACAACAAAAGAATACATATTAAAAGTTATTTAAGAATGGAAGAAATAGAAATTAAAAAGATTCAATAAAATATTCTATGATATAAAGAATACATATGATTGTGTAAATCATTAATTGATAATTATTCATTAAAATATTTTTAATATTAATAATACAATATCCCATTTAATTGAAAATATATGCAATAGATGGTACATTAAGATATGATATACTTATAATAATAATAAATTAGAGTATGTTAAATTAAAATGGTTGATATTACAATATGATTCCATTTCTTGTTATTTATTATCCAACAAAATATTATATCAATATATTAAATGATATTGATATTAATTCAATCAAATTAGATCATACTTTATACATTGATGATTTAAAATTCTTGTGTGATTCGAAGAAAGTAATTAAAGTAACCAATCAAAATATTATTAATGTAATTAAATGAATAATGATTGAAGTAAATATTAAAAAGTGCTGAATAATTAGAAAATGAAATAATATAATCAATGATAATATGATTGAAATCATAGTTAATGATGACTCCAATTCATACAAATATCAATATGTATTCAAATAATAGAAGAATGGCAATGTAAAATATATTAATAAAATAGAAAATGTTATGATACATAAAACAGACATGGGCATGAAAAAAGTAAATAAGAGAAATGAAAAGAAAGAGTGATATGAAAGAAAAATGAAATTAAGAGTAGAATAAGTAGAATAAGTAGAATAAAAGAATAAAACAAGAAAAGAAGAAAATTGAAAATATAAAAAGAAAGAAGATAAAAGGGATATATCGAAAAAAGATAATAAAAAATGAAAAGAATAATGAAATAATGAGTTTATTTTTATTACAGAATTAGAAATATCAAATAAAAAATCATTTAATTTATTTATATAAAATAATTTGACAACATTTTATTAATATAACTTATTTTATTCTTTTTTATTTTTATAATTTTTATTTATATGTATTATTTATTATTAGTGTTTATTATATATTCATTTATATGTTATATGATTAGTATATAATATGTAATATGTAATTTATTATAAATGATAATTGTTATTTTCATATATTTTTATAGAAGATATAAAAATTAAATGAATAATAATAATAAATGATAAAGAAATAATAAGAGAAATAAAATGATATAATAATAAATAAAATATATAAATAAAAAGATAAATAAAATCAATATAATATAAATAAAATAATAATAAATATAAAAAGAAAATTGATATAAAAATACAAAAATATAATCAAAATGAAAATAAGATAAAGAAATGTATTAATAATAATAAATTATATATAAATAGAAGTGTATTAATATAATAAATAAAATATAAATAATAAGAATATCAAAGTAATAAAATATGATAAATATAAAATATATAGATAAAATAATGATATATATAATATAATATAAGAATAAAAATAAATATAATAATAAAATATATAAATATATAAAAATAAAATACATAATAACATAATGATAATAAAATGATACTAATAAAAATGTATACATACATTGAATCAAATATCATTTCTGAATCATTTATATTTCAGAACAATTTACCATAAAATGAGATAAAATATAAACAAACATAATTGATTATGGAACATGTATTTAATTTAATTTTTATTTTTTTTTAAGAACAAAATAATAAAAACTATTATTTTATTGATTCAAAATATTTTGCCCTTTTCTTTTTGGTATTTTTATTTAGATTCATTATTTCTTTGTTTATTTTGGTTCCTGAATGAATATAATGATAATAATTTAAAAGTATTGAAATTGTTAAATATTAAATGGAATGATTATATTCAGTTATTGATTGTATATGAAAACTAATCAATAAATGGATCAAGAAAACCAGATATAACACATAATAAAAAATACAAAATAATGTAAATATTGTATAAATAATATAACATTATATCTATTATATTGTTAGTATATAGATTGAGAAAGAATAACCGAACTGATAATATAAATATGATACTGAAGAAATATTTAAATCAATAACCAGTAATAACATAAAGAAATAGAAAATATAAATACACAATAACTACTTCACTGTTAACATCAAAACATTACTTAATTATAATTACTTATAACAAATACCTATTAACATGAGATGATATCAAATTTATAAGAAGATCACAAATATATCTTCAAGATAATGAACAAAGGAAAACACATAATAATTGATATAATTAATATGAAATGAAAATTTAATAACAGTAGATTTAAATTAATAAATAAAAACAAAATACAACAAATAATGAATATAAAGATGAGATAAATATAAATCACTCAAGTTATAATAAATGATAAATGATTTATCATAAATTAACAGTAAAAATTAAAAGAAAATAGAAAATGATATAATGACATTATTAATAACATTACAAATCAAAAAATAAAAATAAAAAAACGTTATATTAATTATATAATGATGATGGTTGTAATGATATAAGTTCACAAGCTATCACGTCAGCTAATGACCCTTGTAGTACAGAGGATGATAAAACAAATGATAGTTTTTAATAAAAAAAACTTACGAAAACAATGAAGACATGAATAAACAAATAATATCATTATTTAAATGATTTTTTATTTTGCATGATTTTTTAACATAAATTCAAGATTATTTTTGTTATTTAATAAAATAAAAAAATTAAAAAAAAACTAAAAAAAAAAACAAATGATGGATGTTGAGAATAAGATATTATCAAAGGAAGAGATGGAAGTATTGACAAGTATTGCGAGATATTTAAAAAGTGAACAAGATTTTATTAACTTTGTGATGGTATGTAAATCTCATCAAAATGTCTTAGATTGTTTTTTTTTTAATCCTATTAGCTCAACTCGTCTTTTTCTCAACTTGCAAGAACAATGGTTATACTATCCCTGGGATTGTGTCACTCGTAAAGTTAAAAAAATTGTTTTGAATTACCCAATTACAACAAAAGATTATAACTCACTTAAAGGAAATCGAAATATTATTTGTAAACAAGTTAAGTTTACAAAAAAAGATCGTGAGAATTTAGGAAATAAAATTCCATCAATTGTAAACTCAATTGAAGAAAAATGCTTTGAACAATGTACAGATTTAGAACAAATCACGTTACCAGGTAGAATTACATCATTAGGATATTCTTCATTTCGAGATTGTGTTAAATTATCATACATAGAATTACCAGATAATTTAATAAGCATTGGGTCTTGTTGTTTTGATCATTGTATTAATTTAAAATCATTGACAATTCCTAATAACGTGAATTATATTGGAGATAATGCGTTTTTCTGTTGTAATTCTCTTACATCAATTTATTTACCTACACACCTTACTTCTTTAGGAAAGTCATGTTTTTTTGGATGTAATAATTTAAAAACTATTTATGCATCAGAAGAAATTTGTATGAGGTTGCCATATTACTTTTCTTCTTCTTCATTTGCAATTTGAATTTATACTTGTTGTTGAAATTTACTTTTTCTTTTTCTTAAAAAAATCTTAGAATCATAATGAAAAGAAAGAACCGAATTAGTTTAAAGCTGTTTGGTCAAGAATAAAATGGATGAACCCTTTTAATAAACTTCTAAAGGAAAGAATTGAACAAACTGAAGAAGAAACCCACGAAGAAGAAGTTAAAAAACAACATGAAGAAGATCTTTGTATGAAGTATTTAAAAAGAAAACAAACAGAGAAGGAATATGAAATTTATCAACAACTTACATTGATTGCTTTACTTAATGTTTATTGTACATTTAAACTTAAACGAATTCCTAGGCAAACAAACAGAACATTATTTTTACCACGAGTTATTTGTTTAGTATTTAATGAACAAATTATAGATGTTGAAACATTAGCAACAAATAGTTGTAAACAAATATTTAAAAGTGATGTTGAGGAAGGGATTCAAATTAATACAGCTCAAAAAAGATATGACAAAAATATTAAAACGTTTATCTCTAATTTTCTAATAGACACTGCACTAGAATTAGGATTTACTTTTGATTCAAAAATGACAAGATTATCTGGAAAAACACTGAGATTTGAACGAGTGCATTGTATTAAGAAAGGAAAAGAGTTAACTATTAACCGAAATGGAATGAAAACAATTGGTAATAAAATGTACCGCTATATGATTGAACATTATCGTGATCTTCCTGATGTTGTTTTTGAACATAATGATGCAGAAATAAAAAAAATTGTAGATTTTTCAATTCAATGTGTTGATGTGAAACAATAACTTTTGAGAATTAATTTGTTCTTAATAAGTTTAAGTTCAATTTTTGAGTATGATAAAACAAACCTAAAAAATAGGATAAAAAAGAAACCATAAAAATGAATTTTGAAAATAATAAAGGCCTCAAAAATGTCAAGATCTTTAGGAAAAGACAAGATGAATCGCAGATATCAAATTTACAACCACACACTGACATGTCTGACAATCCAATTCCAAATGGACCAAAGATGTCGAATGAAGATGCCAGAAAAAGAAGAAAAAATTCACTTATTCGAGAACATGGAGTTAAAGATGATATGGTCTTTCAACAAGCAGTTTTAATTGGATTAGCAAATAAATTTTGTGGATTTACTATTGAAAGTCCATCTAAAATGTCTCAAATAACTGCAACATTACCAAATATATCAAAAATGTATACACAAGATGGTCTTATTGACGTATCAACATTTGCCGAAAAACAGGCAAATGATTTGTTAAATAAATCAAAACAATTTTTAGTTAAAGAAAAATCATTACAAAGACGAATAAAAAAGAACATCATATATTTTACACAAAATCTATTGATTGATTTCTGTAGTGAACATGGATTCTTTTTTAATTCAATTTATTCAAAGAAGAGCCCAAAGACCTTTCAAGTAGAACGAGTTCAACAAATATTTTATAAGAATATTTTTTTAATGAAAAAGGATGAAATTCAAAGTGTCGGAACTTGTATTAATAATTATCTTCTTAATATTTCACATGGAAAAACGTTGTTTCTTCGTCAAAATGATGTAGAATTACAAAATTTATTAGCTCAAAATATTGCTTTATATTCGTTTGTCTGTAATCATTAAAAGAGATTTTAGAGATCTTTATCATTTTATTTTTAGAAACGTCAGAAATTTAAGAATAAATAAACAAAAATAAATGAATCTAATATAACTATTTATGTAATTAAGATATCCACGAAATGGGGTGGTATATAGAAATCAGATTATACTTTATTATATAACTAATGATATAGTAATGTGATATGAATGAAAGATATAGAATATAAAGAAATAATAATAAAATTAAATATTATAATGAAATAATTTAAATATTAATAATACGTTATAATGAAATTAATAATGAAATAGTTAAATATAATAGTATTAATATAGTATTTAATAAAATTAAAATAATAATTTATTTTTATTTATTTTCTCTTATTTATTATTAATTTGTCTTATATTTTTTATCTTTATTCTTTTTATTCTTTATTTTCTTTCTTTGATATTATTTTCTTTCTTTAATTTATATCATCATTTTCTATTTGATTAAGTATTAATTGATATATATTTCATTTCAATTAACATTGTATTTATTATTATATTTATAATCATAATAAAGAAATATATTTAACTAATAATAGTATCTTCATTATTATTATTTATATTTATAATATCTATTTATTATTTTTCAATATTATCATATTTAATTATATTATTTCAATTAGATTTATTTTAAAATAAATAGAATTATATCAATAATGATAATATAATAATTTATATGAATAATTGTTATATTATTATTTAATTTCATCATTATAATTATTTTTAATTATGATAAAAATACATTTAATATTCTAAATTAAATATTATTATTATTTAATATTATTAATTTAATTATTTATTATCTTTTAATTTAAAATATAAATAATAAATAATAAATAAAAATATAATAAATAAATAATAAATGAAATATTTAATTTTAATTAATAAAATAAATGATTAATGATAATATTCATAAAATAATTATTAAATTATCATTTAATCAATAATAAATAATAATTTAATATATTTTTAATTTATTAAAACATAATTAAAACATAAATAAATAATAAATAATTTAAAACAATATAAATTATAAATAATTATTATTATTCAAATTAAAAAACAAAAACAAATAAATAATAAATAAATAACAAAAAATAAAAAATAATTAAAAAATGAAAAGAAATAATTAAAAAATGATATTCATTAAATTAATAATAAAATCAAATAGTTAAACTATTATAAAATATAGAATTTGTTTATAATCTTAATTTTTTGACAACTTTCGGTAATTCTTCTCCTGATAACGAACAATCTCTTTTTAAAATATGTGCTGAATGATGGGATACTTCTTTTCCACATGCATAACAAAATCCACAACCACATCCACCTTTTTTTAAATCACATCGAATAAAATTACACCCTTTAATTCTTTCTACTGGTATTTTACATTTTGGACAACAAGTACAGTGTGTGCTAATATATTTTTTAAATTCTTCATCTCCTTTTCCATTATCAATTTTCCATTGTTGGTATTGTGCACATGAATATCCTTCGTGGTATTCCTCTTTACAATTATAACAATAAACAAATGAACATTGTGGACAAACAATTCGTGGTTTTCTTCTTGTACCAACAATAGCACATCCACATTTTGGACAATATCTAGTGTGTGAGTCACTTCTTAAATTTGCATTAACTCCATTCATTTCTAATTGACTAAGTACTTTACTTTCTTGAATTAAACCATCACTTATAAGAGTTGAAAGAGGGATAATTGTTTGACACTCTTGTTCAGGACATTTAATTTCCCATTCTCCATTTTCAACTTTTTGTTTAACGTGTTCAATTAAACAACACAAACAAAATCTATGGTTACAAGGTTCAATAGAATACATCAACTCAACTTCTCTTGTCTCATAACAAATAGGACAATCTTCTGTTTTAGGTTTGTTAAAGATATTATTCAATGAGTCTTCAAATGAAAGGTATGAACGAATTAATTCAAGTGATTGAATTATATTCTCTTCTATCTCTTTTTCGTTTGTTTTAATCATTAGATAATTTCGAATAAAATCTTCTAATTGTTCATTTTCCATTTGAACAGACAACAAAATAAATAGTTTGTTGTTTAAAATAAAAAAAAATATGAAATAAAAAATAATAATAAATTTGTATTAATTTTTTTATTTTCTTTATAATTTTAAAGAATAGAAGGCATAGTTGTATTTGAAGATTGTTGATGTTGTTGGTCAATATCTTCATCCATTTCAAAGATATTAGGAGAAATAGATTTATTAATAATTGAGGATGTGTTTTGAACAAGAGGTTGTTGATTTGATGATGTTTTTGAAAGAGGACTGTGACTTTTAATATCAAAAAGTGGTTCTGTATTAACGTAAAGATTATTGTTAGTAGTAAAAGAATTTGGTGTTAACGAAATTACAGGGGAGTCATATCTTTTCATAAGAATTGTATGTGGTTTGTTTGATGATGGTGGAGGAACAATTGTAACATTAAGTCTTCTAGGAGTAGGTCTAATAAACATACCTTCTTTAATAGAAGTTGCCACATCATCAATATCAGTGATATGATGATTTCTTTTAGTTAATTCAGATTCAAGTTGTTTAAGAGCATCTTTTAATCTATCACCAGTAGCAAATATTTCATTTAATTTTTGACTATCATACCTATTACTTTCTTTCTTTATTTTAGTTATTTCATCTTGGAATTTAGTATTTATTTTAGTTGCATGTTTATAAATATTTTCTAAATCACCAACACCCATTTCTAAACCTTTAGAAATATTTCTTAAATTATGTTCAACGTGTGGTAATAATTTAGTAATTTCATTTGGAAGAAAAGTAGTTGGTTGAATCATTGGATTAATAACTTCTTCACTACAATATTTTTTATATAATACTGAGTATTCACACATTTCATTTGGATAATATGATCCCCACGTTGCTATTAAATCTCTAACTTTTCCTTCAACAAGACTTACTTTTGTATGTTTTTTTTTCATCTTTCCAATTGTTTGAAGTAATGAAACAAATGATAAATCAGCAACTTGAGTTCTAAATTGTGGTGATTTTTGTGCAACAAAATCAGTAAGAACAAGAACATTATACATTTCTCCTTCACTTATTTTTTTCTTTATATAATCACTCATTTTATGTTCTATTTGAATTCTTAATGCAACTTCAGCTCCATCTACTTTTTCTACAATTCCACAGATTGTTCTCATCTCATTTTCTGATGGTGATTCATATATATCATTTGTCGTATTTGAAACTAATTCACTTAATTTCACTGACATCCTTTGTTTATTTTTAGTTTTTCTTGTTATTCTTCTATTTCTTTTCTTTTTCTTTTTTTTTTTTATTTCTTTAGAAACCTTTATTTTATAATTATTATTATTATTATTATTTATTTGTATTTCGCCTTTCTGTATTGTTTTCATACCTACTTATTTTCCTCTCTTTCTTCTTTAACTATTCCTTTTAACATCTTTATCTTCTTCTTAATTAATACAAAAATAATTAAACAACAAAATTTTTAAAGTAATTAATTATTTATTATTTTTGCTTGTTTTTTTTTTTAAATGAATAATTCATTTAAAAAATACTTTCTGTTAAAAAATCGAATAGTTCTTTTATTTGAAAAGAGAATTTCAAATTATCTTTGAACTATTGAATTATTTCAACAAAAAGATAATTTAAAGAAGAAGAAAATCACGAACGTAAAGAAGAAATAAAAAGAAAGAATTATAAACAAAAAAGAAATACAAAAAATCAATCAATAAAAAAGAACAGAAAGAAATTGAAATAAAATCAATTAATGAAATTTAATAGAAGTTTTAAAACGATTTAGGGGATGATAATTTAAAGGAATGGGGTCATCATTTTCATCACAATCCAATAAGTCAGGATCAGAAATATCGTAATAAATCCAATGTAAAGAAAGAGGGATTTCGTCGAGATTAATTCCTTGTTCATCGACCAAGCACAATTCTTTTAAAGAAGACAAAGATTTTAAATTAGTAATTTCAATATTATTGGTATATAATATATCAAGTTTAATTAAATTTAAAGGAAGAGTAAAATGAACATCAATGCAATTAATAATTGAAATAGTTAAAAGATTAGTAAATTGGTTTAATGAAAGAATTAAATTTTTAGTATTCGTTTTATTAAGAGTAAAATAACGGAGGGATTGAGGTAAAATAATAGAATGAGAAGGAAGTTCAGAAACAAAGAGATAAATAAGTTGGGTATAATTCTCTAATTTATTTAAATCACGTTGAAGAGGTTTTTCAAGAAGTAAATGAGTGAGACTTAAATAAGAAGGAAGTTGTTTTCCATGGCAATGAAGATATGTTAAAGAAGAAGGATAAAAAGATTCAATATTCCAATTAATATTAACATCTTCAAAAATTAATTCTTTTAAATGAATTAAAGAATTAAAAGAATGATTAATAGAAGTATGACCAATTTTTAAAGAAGTTAAAGAAGTTAAAGAAGGAATAATAGAATGATAATAATTATTAGTAAATAACGATTTTAAATTAGAATAATTAGAATTAATAATTTGAATATGACAATCTCTAAGTGATAAAGAAGTAAGAGTAGAAGGTAATATTATTTCACCTTTTGCATTAACCAAAGTTAAATCTTTTAAATTAGGTAAAATTTGTTGAGGAATATAATTAGCCTGAAGAGAAATAATTGAATTTGGTAATAAAAACATAGAATTATCTTCAAAAGCAATTCTTTTTAAATAATTCATTTTACTTAAATCAATTGGATTATTATTTTTACCAATAAAAAAAATATTTGTTGGTAATATTTTATCTATTAATTTAGTATCAAATGCATCCATTTGATCAATTTCTAATTTACAATTTTCACATAAAGGAATAATACTATTTGGCATTGTGTCATAAAGATATTCCATTGCAATATAATTTTTTTTAATAAAATAAGGAAATGCGTTATAAACTTTTTCCATTTCAAGGTCACAAAGAAATACTAAAACAATTTTATCTATTGGAAATGAAATTAATTCCTTTAAAAACGGTACATTTATATTTTCTGTTAATTTTATTCTCACAAATTCAAAATGTTGTTTTGAATTTGTAAAACATTTCTCAATTGCATTTTCATCTACTTCAATTGTAATTTTTCTTAAATTTGGATATTCTGATAAATTAATAGGTTCTTGAATAATTATATTCATTGATATAATTTTTGCTTTATCTTCCTTTGTTAAACACAATGGTGTGTTTAATGTTATTTTATCTATTATTATATTTTCTATTGTCTTTGGTAATACCTTCATTAATCCTATACTAAATGTTCCCGGTCCAAATTCATATGTTTCAATATTCGGAAATAACTCTACTTCTTTTATTATTTCTTTCATTAACTTTATTTTATCTATTGAATTTGTTATAACTTCCTGTGTTGTTTGGTTTTTATAAAAATTTCTTGTGAAACATGGATTAATTTTTAAAAACTTCATCGCCTCTAAACACTTTTTATTTACCATCGAAAATTTATAACATGTCTCTATTGAATCTATGTATAATATTATATTCGCTAAAAAAACTGACTCTAATTTGATCATCCTTTGCTTCTGTTTTTCTTTTTCTTTTTTTTAGTTTTTCTTTTATTATTTTTTTTATTTCTTTTTATTTTATCTTTTATTATTATTTCTTTTGTTTATTTCTTCCTTTTGTGAATTCTATGTGGCTCATCAGAGACACTACACAAACATTAAAATAAATCAAAGCTTGAACTACTATTTGTCGTCTGATTATGGTGTTTCCATTAATTATAAAACATCCCATTATTGCAAGAATGAGAGTGGTTATTATTTATGATGATTGAATATCATTTATTATAATAGAAGAGTATTTGTGAAGATACTAGTATTATCTACTGTTAGAACACAGGTATGTTTGATAATAAATTAATAGAATTGATTACGTAGGATATTGTTAAAGAAAATTGATCTATTTGTCATTAATGCTAAATGAAATTAGGCATAATAATAGAATGGTAATAATATGGTCAACATAAAATAAGAAAGCAAAGAATAAGGTGTTTTAACACACACCACAATTAAACAAAGACAGTTAAGTAAATGATGAGTAATTGAGTCGACAAGGTTTAAAAAGACATTAACTTAATCTAAATAAAAGGGCGAAGAATAAAAATCACACTTCTCAACTAGAAGAAAAGGTAAAGAAAAGGTGATTATTTGAGTGTTCATTTTTAAAACACAACGATGTGGCTAGTCAGTGATGGGCAAAGGACAATAGTAAATAAAACTAATAACACTTAATCAATTTCTTTATCAACTAACAAGAAATTTTGAAACCCAAAGAAATTCAGTAAAAACTAAATAATCATTCATTGTTTTAGTACTTTTGCTGTATAAAAACACACAAAAAGAATTTAAAATAAAGTGATTTTCATTCATTTTTTGAAAGAAAGTAATAAATAAATACTATTAACTTATTTAATTCTAACGATAAATAGTACAACTGATATAACTAATTATTGACTATATACAGACATAATCTTGCCTGGGCATCGCACACAAACAACCAAACAATTTAATTCAAATTGGTTTTACTCTTAATTTTTTTCTTTTTATTTTTTTATTATTTTTTAATAATAATTATCTATATAACAAAAATATTTATTTGATTTGTTGTTATTAAATCATTTATATCAATTCTTTTGTTTTGAGTTGAGTAATTTACATTTCAACGAAAATGATAAACTTAAAAGTAATAATAAAATAAAAGAATAATATCAATGGAAAAAAATGAATGATGAGGAATGAGATGAAATGTATAATAAAATTTTAAATTAAAATATTATTTTAATCATTATTTTTTTTAACTTGTCTTTTCTTATTTTTAATTTAATTTGATTAAAACAAAATGAAAAGAAAGTAATTATCACCCTAACCCTAATATAAACCCTTTCATATTTAAACAACTATCTTCTCTATCTTTGCATTCTCCATCTTCTAAATGCCAAAGGAAAAGACTCATATTAATATTGTCGTTATCGGTCACGTCGATTCTGGTAAAAGTACTACCACTGGTCATCTTATCTACAAATGTGGTGGTATTGATCAAAGAACCATTGAAAAATTCGAAAAAGAATCTGCTGAAATGGGTAAGGGTTCATTCAAATATGCATGGGTCTTAGATAATCTTAAAGCTGAAAGAGAAAGAGGTATTACTATTGATATTTCATTATGGAAATTCGAAACATCTAAATATTATTTCACTATTATTGATGCTCCAGGTCACAGAGATTTCATTAAGAATATGATTACTGGAACTTCACAAGCTGATGTTGCTATTCTTATTGTTGCAGCTGGTACTGGTGAATTCGAAGCTGGTATTTCAAAGAATGGACAAACTAGAGAACACATTCTCCTTTCATACACTCTTGGTGTTAAACAAATGATTGTTGGAGTTAACAAGATGGATGCCATCCAATACAAACAAGAAAGATATGAAGAAATTAAGAAAGAAATTAGTGCATTCCTTAAGAAGACTGGATACAATCCAGACAAGATTCCATTTGTCCCAATTTCAGGATTCCAAGGAGATAATATGATTGAACCATCAACCAACATGCCATGGTACAAGGGACCAACATTAATTGGAGCACTTGATTCAGTCACTCCACCAGAAAGACCAGTTGATAAACCACTTAGACTTCCACTTCAAGATGTTTACAAGATCTCAGGTATTGGAACAGTACCATGTGGAAGAGTTGAAACAGGAGTCCTTAGACCAGGAACTATTGTTCAATTTGCACCATCAGGAGTATCATCAGAATGTAAATCAGTTGAAATGCATCATACTGCACTTGCACAAGCTATTCCAGGTGATAATGTTGGATTTAATGTCAGAAACTTAACAGTTAAAGATATTAAGAGAGGAAATGTTGCATCAGATGCTAAGAATCAACCAGCTGTTGGATGTGAAGATTTCACTGCACAAGTTATTGTTATGAATCATCCAGGACAAATTAGAAAAGGATACACCCCAGTTCTTGATTGCCACACTTCTCACATTGCATGTAAATTCGAAGAATTATTAAGCAAGATTGATAGAAGAACTGGTAAATCTATGGAAGGAGGAGAACCAGAATATATTAAGAATGGAGATTCTGCTCTTGTTAAGATTGTTCCAACTAAACCACTTTGTGTTGAAGAATTTGCTAAATTCCCACCATTGGGAAGATTTGCTGTTAGAGATATGAAACAAACAGTTGCAGTTGGAGTTGTTAAAGCTGTTACACCAAGAGCTTCTAATGCAGCAGCCGCTGGAAAGAAGAAATAATTAAGATATTAATTATTTAAATAAAGAAATTGTTTATTTTTTTAAGAAATAAAAATTGGAAAGAGAAGTTAATAAAGAAAATAGAA